CACGCGCGAGACCTCGCAGATTTCTCGCGTGACGCCTTTTTTTCTCTCTCTCTCTTGCGCCCTGCGAACGCTGGCCACCACCTTTATCGACGCCTCGGTAAGGCCCTCCCGGCGCGGGGAGCGGAGCACGCCTTATCCAATGTGGACTCTATCGCGTTTGCACACTCGGCGGAAAGCCATCAAAGTGTAAAGCAACGTTAATTGCGCAAAGAGACGCCGTTGATCGTCAATTAGAATTCACAAACGAAATCAACGGCGCGCACACATTTGCACGGCTGTGCAGTTGCGGGGCTAGAAAAAAAAAAGAAAAGAAAAAATGCCAGTGTGCCGCACTGACCACGTTTCCACCGAGGGTCGGAGTCGGGTCAGAATCGGGTTGGGGTGAGCGCTCGTGCGGCGGAAACGCCAAACCCGAGCCCTGCCTTGTAAAATTTTAAGGTTAATGAGGTTCGGTGGACCAAATGAGGTTCGGTGGAAACGACGGGAGTCTCGCTGGGTTCCTGTACCGTCGCCGTCCGGTTAAATAGTAACAAGTGGCTTTTTGATTCTCCTCGATTCTGTTTCACCTTGGAATTTTCTAAGGCAGGGTTCAGGTTTGAATTTGGTGTTTCCGCCGAAGCGCCCACGTTATTCACGCGGGTACGAAAAGCCCTGGCGCTTTCGCGCGCCGCACGCGCGAGCTGGTGCGCGAGTTTTCGAATGTTTGCGCGCGACTCGTTCGATATCTCGCTCGAATGTGCCGCGAGTGTGTTTTTCAATGCCGGGGAGATAATCCGGGCCCGGAAAGCGGCGAGGGACCAGCGCCCGGGCCTCGTCTCGCCCCGATCCTGCCGAGTCCTCGTCTCCCCGTTCGCGCGAGGCCGAACACGCCACCTCGGGATTCGCGTGAGGAACGATCGGGGGAAGCCGAAACCCGTGCACCGCGGGCGTCACCTTGAATTTTTTTAGGTAGACATCCAAAACAGCTGGGTTCAACGAACGGCTGAGACATCGCCCCCGTCTTGTTTTGACACGGCTCGCCCCGGGAGAGAGAAAGAGAGAGAAAGAGACGCACGCTTTCTCCCGACCGCACGGCCATAAAAGCTCAGGGGGCTCGGCTGGACCCGGCAACGAGCTCCCGAGTTACAATTTATTTGTCAGGCTCGCTGAACGATTACGCAGGTACGGACTGGCTCTTGGACCTGGGCTGCGGCACGTCGGAAACAAAGAGACCGATCTCGATGGTTACTTTCTAATTCTAGCTTATAATCTAGCGGCTATCCGCTCTCTTGTACGACAAGTGGAACGGATTATTATTTTGCCGACTTGCAGCACCGGCAGATAAAGCGAGCGACTTTTTTTTCCCCGCTGTCCCATTAGTCGTTCCGACGTCTCGCAAATATCGTCTCGAGCGCATGTTAATATTATCGGGGCGCGATTCTTTATCACGTCCCGAGAAGGAGAACGCCAAGTCGATCCGCCGAAGTGGCTCGCCGATGTGGCACTTACAAATTACTTCGTTGCGTCTCGCGCCTCGGTGTAATTTACGCGGTTACTTATCTTGAGCGACGTGATTTCTCGAAACGTTTCAGGCGGGGGAACAGGGTTTCCGCCCCGGTTTTCAACCGAGGTCCTCGAGAAACGTCTCTAAAATTGCGAGTGCAAAATTTTCCCTTCGACGTCGACGCGAGGCACCGCCGCGAGGGCCGTGCGGCAAAAATTCCCGGGAGCAAACGGGGGAGGTAATGAACAAAGGGCTTGTTTGATCATCGGGACGTAGAGACGTGTGTGCTCCAGTTCTTTAAAAGCCGCCACTAGATTCAATTCCCATCCGAGAGTGCGTTGCGGACGCAAGCACGTCTCGCATTCTTCTCACGCTAGGAAAAGTTGCCTATCGTAAGGGTAGAAGGGTTAAAATGCGCCCTCTCTCTCTCTCTCTCTCAGTCCGTCTGTCCGCCGCTCGTCATGCGAAATCCAGTCGAGAAACCAAAGCCGAAGGAGGGCAGTGCCGAGGGGACAAATAACAATCAGCCGTCAGGCTAGAGCGACGAGCGGACAAAGGTACCCCCTCCTAGCTGTCACGAACAGCTGGAACACGACGCCGCGCGTCTGGAAATGTCCCGAGGTACGTGACACAACGCCCGCGGTACGTTCGGACGTTTCGAGCGGAGACGCGCGCAATTTCGCGTCTTCGCCAAGCGCCTGGCATCGGTCGGCGCGAGCTGAAGCAACGAGGAAAGGAAAACGCACGGGATCCGGGGAGAAAGTCTTTCGCGCTGGCTGGGCAGCGGGTAGCACCCAAACCGCAGCACGGGGCGGAAACATATGCGCGCTCCGAATTCGGAAGAGTTCGCGCGGCGGCTGCTCGGGCCACCCCACCACCCCCCGCGAAGATGACGAAATCATCTCCAGCTTCGAGCGTGTCTCGCGGGAGCGCGTGTCGATTGGCACGAATTCCGCGTAAACGGACACGTCGCGTCGTCCCTCAACCTTGGATCGACGACTCGGTCGCGTTTCCGCGCGATCGGGAGCCCCGACGACGATTTCGGTCGCGAGAAAACGCTTTCTCTCGCGAGAGCGCCCTTGCTCGTGTCGAGGGACGGGAATGGGGACGAGCGGGCGAAGCAGCGAGCGCGCTGTCACGCGCGCGAGAGAGAGAGACAGCGGATCGGGAGAGACGCGCGACGGACTACGACAATGACAACAACGGCGACGGCGACGACGGCGACAAAGGCAGTGACGATGACAATGGAGAAATTGGCGCAAGCCCGTTTACCGATTCGTAGCGCTCACGCGAGTCTGCTCACGATCCCACCGACGAGCCTGGAGTCGTTCCCGTGGGTCAAATGATCCCGTCGACGGGCCCCATGGCAGCCGACCGTCGGCGCAGCGTCGCGCGGATGATGACAACGGCGCTCGGTCCGATGATCCTCGCCAGCTCCTCCTCCGCAGCGCGGTGGGACGCGCCACTCGCGGTGTCGGTGCCGCTGCGACGCGGGGGCCCCGAGGAGGGAAATAGAAGCAGAGAGAACCGAACGCGCCAGGCGAGTGTAAACGCGCGCTCTCTCTCTCTCTCTCTCGCGGGGAGGACGGAGCACGGGGGCGGCCGGGAGGGAGCGAGAGGAGCGAGAGCGCAGAACGCGGCCGCGGGACTCGCGCACGCGACCCGCTCGATGGTCTGTTGCCAACTGGCTTGACCCCGCGAGCACACGAGCGAGAAGTGCGAGAACCAGGCGCGCGCGCCAGCCGAGACCCCGCCGCTCGCCGCGAGCGGCGTGCGCTATCGGTTACGGATGCGCGACTGATAGCCTGCCAACCCTACCGGCGGGGCGCTCGCCGCTCTCGCCGCCCCGGACGGCCCGGACTACTCCGGAACCCTCCCCGAGGCCCCGGAGACGCGTATACGTACGACGCGCGCACGCCGTTTCCAGACGAGCAGAGAGCCCGAGTACCATCAGCTGATACGAGCCGGACGTTTTCCACGGCGATTTAAAGGCCGCGGCGAGGAGCGGAGCGCTGTCCAGCTGCGCCCGAAACGGGACGGGACGAGGGGTCGAGGAGGGGGGGGGGGAGGAGAGGGGCGGAGCGAGGGTCGAACTGACCTGGACAATCGATTACAACGCCCGCCAGCTCCGCTCGTCCACTGTTATATTTCTCGCATACAGTTGTTGAAATGTCAGGCGCGATTACAATGCCCAGCGTGCGTAAACGCTACGAGAGAAACTTAAGCTCTAACGTCGACCAGGCTGTCCATCCAGTTTGTCGTCTAACCTAACTTAACCTAACGGCGCGATCGGACGATCGACCGTAGCTCGTGTTCCACGTCTCGGGGCTGCGATTCTCTTTCTCTCTCTCTCTCTCGGCCCCCGACTCGTTGATTCGATGGTAAAAAAACGGCACACGTGTGCACGAAGGACGGACGGACGATTTCGCGTGGGGAAAACGGTACGCGCGATTTCACGTCGCCGCGCGATCTCGCCGGACAAAACCGACGGGGCCGAGAAACAAGCCCGGGGAAAGTACATCGAGCGGATCGGAAGAGAAATTGGCGTGAAATTGAGTAGAAAAAGCGTCGACGCGCGAGCCCTACCTCGATCGCCGACGCGAGATCCGCGTCGCGCCACGCCGCGCGCCCCGCGGCGGCGCACGCCGGAACTACACTCGGCACGGCCGCGGGCGCGCGATTGGCTGAGCCGGGGCGGCCGTCGCAGCGCCGCGGGTGCGCGCGGACTCGGTTCAATTTCTCCGCGAACTTACCGGCCGCTTAAATGGGGTAAAGCGCGCGGAGAAAAATCGGCGGAAAACGGCGTAGACGCGACGCGCACGCC